TTTCTAATGTTGGTTTCTCTGTTTATTAGAAATGGAAATCTCAGGAAATAGCAAAAGGAGGGCCATGGATGATAGATTTATTAACTTGCCAACGGATGTTTTAAACTGCGTCCTAGATCACTTGCCTGCTCGAGATGCAGCAAGAACAAGTATTTTGTCTAGAAAATGGAGATACATATGGACTGGTCACCCGAATCTTGTACTTGATCCCCAGGATATAGTCACTGTCACCAAAAATGATTTTGTTGGAATAGGCAATCGAATTCTCTTACAGCATATTGGACCCATTCTAACTTTTCATGTCAACCTTTCAGATGTACACATGTCACAGTACCCAAACATTGATCCATGGATACTATACTTGTCAAGAAATGGATTGAGGCAACTTACAGTGAAGAATTCCAGTCGTGATCTCTATGCACTTCCCTCTTATGTATTCTTGTGTCAAGAACTTACTTATCTGAATCTGTCTAACTGTATTTTCAAACAACCATGTGGTACTATAAGAAGCTTTCAAAATCTTAAGGAGCTTTTTTTGACTCAAGTTGCTTTCAAGCCAGAGGTTTCTGCTTCTATCTTTGCTGCATCAAAGCTTAAAGCTTTGTGCTTAAAAAAGTGCAGTGGTATGGATCACTTGAACTTTGATGGCTGTTCGCCGTCACTTTCCTCCTTGGTACTTTACAAGAATCATGGGGTTAAACTGAGTTGTTTTATGAACTGCAAAAGTATTACATATGCATACCTTATATTGCCAATGGAAGTTAAATCTTTTGGCCCTGGTGAGAGGATCAATTTAGCAAGCTTGTTTAAATACTGGCCTCTAATTTCAAACCTTTTTCTGGATGGACACCATCTCAAGGTACAATCTCTTTTAAGATTTCAATTCTTATATATGGAAAAATGTATTTGGGTTGCATTATCATTTTTCTATGTGCTGGTAAGCTTTTGGCTGCAGGCTCTATTATGAGTGCACTTCCACTTAAAATCAACTACTTGAGGGATCTTACACTCTGTCTAATTAACTTTACCGATCTGATACAAATCTCCAGCATCCTTTCCTTGCTTCACAGCTCTCCTAGGGTGCATAGCCTTGAAATTTGGATGAATGTGAGAAACTAATGGTCTACTTACATTTATTTATTTATTTCTACCATACTCTCACTGTTGTTGTTTGAACTTATTTCAGTTTTGTTGTATGTATAGATTCCAATGGTGACTGCAGACAACAACCTCGTTTTACAGTATTTGCAAGAACGTAGCTGCATGAGTGAGGATATTAACAGTTTGCGGGATTTGAAGATGAAATATTTCCAGGGGTCAAGAGCTCAAATGCTTTTTGTAAAGCTAATACTTGCGTGCTGCCCGGCCTTAGAAAGGGTTTGTTTTGAGGACAAGAAAATAGAGGCATCGGAGGTCCTTAATATTTTGAAAGAGTTAGTAGTATTCCCTCGAGCTTCAAGGAAAGCACAAATTATCTTCTGAACTTGTGACTAAAGTTATGTGGTTAAAGTTTTCAGTTTTGCAGTTTGTAATTATGTTGGATTAGTACCATCCTATATATGAAGTTCCTTATGTTCTTCAAAGAATACTTTTATGGACTTCCTAGCTTTCCCTTTCAGTACACTACATTGTCTTCCGCTGAATATCCTTATTTTCTTCAAAATGAATAAGAACATCCACAATAATTTAAAATTTTTGTGATTTTTTAGGTCTCACGTAGGAGTGAGAAGAGGGAGAAAAAAAGGAGAAAATGAAAAACTAAAAAAAAAAAGAAGAATCTTGACATATTTGTTTTTAAAGAAACAATAAGTCTTTCTTATGATCTTGTTCTCCTAGATGTTAATTAAAGATATATTATTTTCTCTTACTCAAGTAGATATCTCTCGTGTTTATTGCATTGCGAATAGGGTTGTCCATAGTCTAATTAGGGAAGCTTGTTCTATTTCTGTATGTCGAGAATGAGTTACAATCCCTCCTGTTATTGTCAACGACTTGTACTTTGATTTGAATTAAGAGTAAATACCTAAAATGGTCCCTCGACTATAGCTAAATTCATAAATTGGTCATCGACTTTCAATTTCAACCAATTAAGTCTTTAACTTTGCAATTTTGACACGATTTGGTCCTTCATCTATTTGACAATTTGTTGACCGTAATCGACGATCTCCAGAAGAACCTTCAGCTTTCATCGGAGCACGTGGAGGCCTCCAGGATGACGTTGCACCGGTTCGGAAACACGTTGTCTTCTTCCCTCTGGTACGAACTCAACTACATTGAATCCAAAGGGAGGATGAAGAAAGGCGACCGGATTTGGTAGATTGCTTTCGGCAGTGGATTCAAATGTAACAGTGTAGTCTGGAAATGCAACCGGAACCTTAAAAACCCGACGATGGACCATGAAATTATATATATATCCTCAAAAATCACAGTCAACAAACGGTCAAATAGACAGAGGACCAAATTGTGTTAAAATTGCAAAGTTAAGGACTTAATTGGTTGAAATTGAAAGTCGAGGACCAATTTGTGAATTTAGCTATAGTCGAGGGACCATTTCGAGTATTTACTCTTGAATTAATGAAGTTATGTTTTTCTCAAAAAAAAAAAAAAAAAAAAGAAAAGGCAGAAGTGTCAAATAGGTCCATCTACTATTTCGAAGTGTTCATTTCACCCCACCATCTAAAATATATGCTAATCAAGCACACTTACCTTCCAAATTTGTTCACAGCTCCTAGCTTGAATTAAGCCATAAACTCACAACACCAAATGCAAAAATCCCAGCTAAAATCAACAGATTTCTCAAATTTTGAGACACTCCCAGATTATTTATAAAAAAAAAAAAAACAAATTTAAAAAAAAAAAAAACAGAAATATTCTCAGATTTCAACGAAAATTGGGGAGATGTCAGTTAAAAGAGTAGAGGTTGTGGAAATACGCAGGATTTACTGGCACGAAAAATTCCTTCACCAGCAGTGTTCGCGTAGAAATCGAGCTCTGCGGCGGCAGACACGGAGCTGGCAGCGCAGGTTGAGGGTACGCCAGAACTTCGCGGTACTGCGGCGGTGACGAATGGTAAGGGTAGTAGAATTGCACCGAAGCTAAAGGGTAAGTGTACGGATTCCTCGGGAAGGATTCTTGAGCTCTGGGATTTTGCCAATCGTTTTTCATTCCTAATTCAGATTTTGCTCTGGGAAGAATTCTTGAGCTCAGGTTAGGGAAAAATGAAGTGTTTAATTCCTAATTCAAATTTTGCCAATAGTTTTTCATTTTTTTTTGTTATTTTTATGCCACGTAAACAATGCCACCTAAGCGTAACTGGGCTACTTCATTGCAAACAGGTGAGTAACCTGCAAAAAAGTTTAATCGAACAAATTTGGAAGGTAAGTGTGTCTGTTTTAGCATATATTTTAGATGGTGGGGTGAATTGAACACTTCGAAGTAGTAGATGGGTCTATTTGACACTTCTGCCAAAAAAAAAAAAAAAAGAAACAATAAATCTTTTAGTCATAGCTGTCAGTTGGCTGTTACTCTGACACGCTCGCTTAGGACGCAAAGTACGCTTCACTTGTTCTCTGCTAAATGATACAGATACCCTAATAATTACTTCACTTGTTCTTTGCTAAATGATCTGGATATCCTAATAATTACTTAACTTGTTCTTTGCTAAATGATCTGGATATCCTAATAATTACTTAACTTGTTCTTTGCTAAATGATCTGGATATCCTAATAATTACTTAACTTGTTTTCTGCTAAATGATCCAGATATCTTAATAATTACTCTTATACTGATATTCGCTGTTGTCTTTTTAGCCGGCACTCGGGTCTTTTTAGAAATAAATGTAATGTTTAATGACTCAATTTTAATCCTTTATTACATAACTAGTGTTTTCCCTGTGAGATGCACATAATAAATTATAGAGTAAATACCCAAAATAGTCCCTCGACTATAGCTAAATTCACAAATTGGTCATCGACTTTCAATTTCAACCAATTAAGTCCTTAACTTTGCAATTTTGACACGATTTGGTCCTCCATCTATTTGACCGTTTGTTGACCGCGATATTTGAGGATATATATGTAGTTTCACGTGCAAAGCTCAAGAGAACGCTTTTGGAGGTGACATCGTTGTTTCGGAGGTGGAAGTGCTTCTCCGCTTGCTACTTGGGGATCACGAGCCGGTTCAGCTTAGGGAACGTACGCTCTTGGAGGTGACAGCGCCGTTTCGGATGGGGGAAGTGCTTCTCTGCTTGTTGCTTGGGGATCCCGAGCCGGTTCAGCTTGCCTACATCGCTTGGACTCACGGCTTTCTCGAAGAGCCACTCCAGGGACTTCGGCGATCTATCTATCAAAAGCTATAATCTCTCCGGCATGGGGTGCAGCACCGACAGTGGATTCAAATGTAACAGTGCGGTCTAGAAATGCAACCGGAACCTTAAGAAACCAATGATGGACCATGAAATTACATATATATCCTAAAAAAGCGCAGTCAACAAACGGTTAAATAGACAAAAGGACCAAATTGTGTTAAAATTGCAAAGTTAAGGACTTAATTGGTTGAAATTAAAAATTGAGGACCAATTTGTGAATTTAGCTATAGTCGAGGGACCATTTGGAGTATTTACTCTAAATTATATTATTATGAATTTAAATAAAAAATTTAAAAATAAAAGGCTAAAGTGTCATCCCGCACCATGAACCATAAGCGATTCTTCATGCCGCACCCTCATCTTTCATAAGTGTTGTTTCGAGCCACGAACCATTAAATTTTGTTCGACTAGACTTTTTTACAAGTTTTCTTGTTTCATTGATGACATGGCTCCGGTAATGCGCTGACATGGACTTATTTGTAAAAAAGTCTAGCCGAAAAAAATTTAATGGTTCGTGGCTCGAAACAGCACTTATGAAAGGCCAGGGTGCGGCATGAAGAATCGCTTATGATTCATGGTGCGGGATGACACTTTAGTCAAAATAAAATAATATTAAATAATACAATATAATAAGGGAAAATTGTACTTTTTGTCGCTAAGTTATAGGGTAATTGTAGAATTCGTCCTTAAGTGTTGGTAATACTCACTTTTCGTCTCTGAGTTATAAGGTAATTGTAGGATCTGTCCCTAAGTGCTGGTCATACTCATTTTTAGTCTCTAAGTTATCATTGATGTTGCACTTTTTGTCCCTTTAATAATAAAACATTCACTACTACAGAACATAGCTATTACGATGGTTTTTTTTTTTTTTTTTTTACACATACACGGCGGTTTTTGAAGTGTCGCGCGTGTAAATGACCGTCGTTGTAACTTGTAAATATACACTTTCTACGGTGATTTTGGAAACCAACAAACCACCGTGTATGTTAACTATATACGGCGGTTAAACAACCGTCATCTGTCAACTATATACGAAGGTTATTTAAACAACTGCCGTATATTAAGTGATAGAGTATAACGCAATATATTAGACGGCGATTATTTAAAAAACCGTCGTCTATTAAGTGACGTAAAAAAATTAATTAAGGTATATGCGACGGTTATTTAAAATATCGTCGTCTATTAAATGACGTAGTATAACAAAATATAGTAGACGGTGGTTATTTAAAAAACCTCATTCTATTAACTGGCGTAGTATACCATTTATGTAATAGTGATTAGGGACGGAATTTGAAATTTTAGTATAATTCAGGGATGAAAAGTGCAATGATAATGATAACTTAGGGGGAAAAGTGAGCATGACAAAAATTCAGGGATGAATTCTACAATTACCCTATAACTCAGGGACGAAAAGTGCAACGCCAATGATAACTTAGCGACGAAAAGTGAGTCTGACCAATACTCAGGGACGAATTCTACAATTATCCTATAACTTACGGACGAAAAGTACAATTTTCCTATATAATAATATAGTTAGATTTTCATATATTTGGCAGGGTATCTACATTCATAAGATTAATATAGTGTTTAATATTGTACATATTTAGAAATATTTATAAATGAAAATTACATAATTAAATTGATTATTCCTAATTGCATTTCATATATATTATAATTTCAATAAAATGAATAATAATTAAGGGAATTATATTATAAAAAAACAAAAGATGTAAATTATAAATTCTATATGACTAGATTTAGATCATAATTGGATGTATTTCCATATAATATTTATATTGAGAAAATGATGTGTTTGGTCCCTGAGTTATAACCGTAGTGACGACTCAGTCCATGTGTTATTACCGTATCCATTTTTAGTCCCTCGGTTATGAGAGAAGTGACGAGTTTGGTCCCTGGCGCTAGTGGTGTGTAGACAAAGTCAATACCTCTTAATAAAACTTGTATGTAATATAACTTGTCCCCCCCCCCCCCTCAACAAAAACCCTAAGGTGCTTATGTAATCAACGAAGACTATACTCCCGTTTTTTTCTGAAAAATCAAATTTCAATATTTCAATTCTATTTATAAAGAAACAACTTAAATTATAATTCTTTTACAAATATAAAAATTTACTTCATAACGTGGACAAACTTGTTATCTTTTCCCTCGATCAGCATAACACCATGACATTTTGATGGGTAATAAATAATCACATTTACATCAAAAATTGTCCCCAAATTTGACAAAAGATGAAGTACCATGTACAACTAAGAGATGGTATCCTATAATTAATGGCTAAATTAGTTCATCAATCCAGAGAATATTGATATTTATTTAAAAATATAAAATAGAGAAACAACTTACCTGTGAATTTCGTAGCTTCGAAGTGGACGAATTTGAGATTTCAAAGTTTGGAGAAGAAAAAGACATTCGATTGTAGGTATAAGAAGAAAAGAATGACTGTTGCGCCTATATTGTAATTTGGAATTTCTATTTTACCCCTATATTATTAAATTATTTTTAAGTTTCCCGTTAGCTACAAACAGAATATTAACGCATGCTCGGGCGTTATTCTAGGTTTAGGGTTGTCGTCGAGGCTTGATATGATTGAGTTCTTGAGGTTCTTGGTGATCTTGAGTTACTGTGCATTTATTCTTGATTCGTGGCATGATTAGTGCTTGTAATTGAGATTTAATTGTGTTGGTGTCATGACTTAATTCTTGTGGTTTAAGCCCATATTGTTGTTGTTGCGTATTGGGATGTATTTGGACTTGATTTTGGGTTTAACGGATGAATTTCCGAAAGGGAAAATGCCGGATTACTATCGTACCAGTGGGGGGGTCGGTGGGGTGACGAACCCCCACCTGACCACCCGCCAGTACACGCCATGTACCAGCAGGCAGCCGGCGGGTGGCTGACTACCCACCGTGAACCCGTTGGTACATAGCCGCCCACTGGCAGGTGGTTAACCACCCGCTGTACATCCGTTGGTATGGGGCGACGTGTTGTGATGTTTACCCCGTTTGTTGTTTCCCCGTGTCCCGTTGTGCCCCGTTTGATGTTTATGAGTCTCGTTGAATAATTCGGGTACCGTTTTAGGAGTTGTGAGTCGTGGTCATTGCATGTGGGTTAAGTTAGTATCCCGTTGGTCTAGGATGAGATTCGTATGACCTCGTGTGTGCCTTGTGGTTGTCTCGTTACCTTGGGAAGTATAGTTTAGGCTGTGTATTGGAGTTGTGTGTGTATGTTGATGTCATTTGTTGATTGTTGTGCCCTTCCCTTTCATTACCCCTTGCTATGTGTTGATGTGTATTGATTGTTGTGGTTATTGAGCGATGGCCACTGTATTGTGTGCATGTTGACTGATTAATTGTACCTGGTGAGAAAGGGATGTGATTGGTGGAAAAGAATTATTGGAGTTTGGCACATCGAGTGCCCGGTTATTGTGCTAAAGGCACAGACCATTAGGTTATCGTGCTGAAGGCACGGACCACCTTGACTTGCTTGCTAAAGGCATGGGTCAAGTTATAAGCGCTGCGGTGCCATGTCAGAGCTATATGCGCTGACCCCTTGGTAGTGGTGCTAGAGGCACGGATCATGTGAATGGCACTGCGGTGCTATCAAATCGGTGGTATGTTGGAGATATGTTGGAGGGGAGCCATGAAGTGCTCCGGAGGGATAAGGGGGGTGGCGTTATAAGGGTGGCTTGGAGGTACAGGTTGAAACTGATATAAGGATGGAGAAGAGTAAATGTTGGAACTTGGCCTAATTAAGGCTGGATTGTGATACCATTGTTGTTGTTGCCTTTGCTTGTCGTTGTGCCTTATTGTTATGGCTGGATTGTGATACCATTGTTGTTGTTGCCTTTGCTTGTCGTTGTGCCTTATTGTTATGATTGGTTGTTATTGCTAAGCTTTGTGGTTATCTTATCTTGCTAGTTGAGACGCATGCTAGTATCTTTATGATGATTCGTAATGCTAAACCTGTTGTTGTGTCTGGAGTCTTGATCTTGGTTTTAAAGCTAGAGTTGTTTAGGGTTATATATGTATTCCAGTCTCAAAATGGTTTCTTATATCTACATATATTGTACTTAACGCGTGGGAGTGAGTTACCAGCATTATTCGCTGACGGTTGTTATACCGTATGTTTTTCAGGTGCATATCAGTAGCTCCAGAGTGCGCTAGATGGATACGAGGACCTAGCTCAGATAGTTTAATATTAATTAGATAGCCTATGAGCCTTGGCTTGTATCATGAATACCAATTACAGTTTATGCTTGTTCAGTTAGTTTAACATGTGCATCTAGGTTCTCAAACCTAGACGTGGCATAGCACCCCGATACTTATGTTGTCTGTTCCGTTTATTTTGGATGGATAATATAATGATAGATTCGCCTTTATTTTATAGGATTTAAATGTTTTAAAAATTAGGGGTGTTACAAGAACACATTGTTAAGAGCGTAGGATGTGGTAGCCTATTCTTGGATGTGTACCACAAAACAGCTGTACCAACTCAAAATTTAATTTTATAAATCCAATTTTAAGAAATTCCAAAATAGCCATTTTCACTCCATTAAAATTTTTTGCGATCAATTGGTGTTGGAAGAAATTATTATAGTCACATTTTAAATTAATTCGACACCAAAACTTATTTTATTCCAAAATCTTAAATTTTCGGGTACTTCGCGTACCAAGTTTTAAATCGAGAAATCAATCTGAGTGAAACCGGGAAAATTCAAAAAGACTTTAAACAAGGGTTCATCTAGAAAACCTTTTGAGAAAATTTGTAACACCCCGAAATTTTAAAACTTTTCAATCTTATAATATGAAAGCAATTCTATTAATTAAATCCCAAATGGAGTATTCTAAACATAAGGTCTGGGGTGTTATGCCACATCTGAGCTGGAGAACTCAGATGCACAGGCTATTCTAACTAACTATCCTTTAAACATTGTCATTACATCATCAAGGCGCGCAGGCCGAAAGGAAAGACTAACTATCTAAGTCGAGGTCCTCTAGCGCGCTCCGGTAGCTAATCATCTGTGCCTGAAAGCCAAATATATCTGTTCAGCGAATGATGCTGGTAACCCACTCCAACGCGTTGAAATACAATATAAGTATATATATATATATATATATATATATATATATATATATATATATATATATATATATATATATACGAAAACCATTTTGAAGCAGGAAGGTATATACTTAGGAGACTCTAGCTTTAAAAACCAGGAATAAACTCGACAAATAGAGATAAGCATATTCAACAGTTATAATCAAGCATATAAAGACACTAGCATATATCCCAGGGTCACAGATTCACTTCACATCGTTCATATCGTCATTCAATTCATATCTTATCACATAAGCACACTTTGGTGGCGCCACAGGACCAATCGCATGCCCATACATGAGGGTCAGCACATATAGCGCTAACACGGCCCCGCAGCACCCTGCCTCGTATCGCAAAATGAAGGGGTCGATCACAACCGACCGATGAACCGCAGCTCATCAAACGTTTGATCGCAACCAAACAGGGGACCGCAGCCCGTAAGTGAACCTCTGACCGCAACCAGGAATATGAACCGCAGCTCATGTAAAACGTTTGATGGCAACCAAACGGTGGACCGCATCCCAAAAGTGTATTTCTGACCGCAGCCAGCTTCTGAACCGCAGCTCAGGTATAACCAATTTGATCCCAACCAAATTGGGGTATCATGCACACATAACACGTAGCAAGCACATGCAACCCATATTAACATATTGGGAAAGGGGAGAAAACGTATAATGAAACCTATGCATGGTCATCCACATACTAGGAATAATCCTAAGGGGTTCATACTTCTTTCGCCTAGGCCAACGGGATACCAATTCAACTAGCATGTGATACACAAGACTCTTTTATCCTACGAACGGTACCCGAAACATCAAACTAGATTCAGGCATGATAAACGGAGTCTGTTGGGACACCACGAGGGTCGGGGAAACATCAAATGGGGAAAACCACCATCCCGAAGTGGGAAAACCAGCGGGTGGCCGGCGGGTGGATGACCACCCGCCGGCGGCGAGAAACCAGGCAGCGGGTGCCCGGTGGGCAATCGCCTGCCCGCCGGCTGCCCGCGACGCTCGAATGGGGCAGCGGGTTCCCCTACCCCCACCTACCCCCCACTGACTCTTTTTCAATTCTTGGGTCCCGGGATCTTTCGTGGAACCCGAAACCATGTTCCGACACTTTTAAACACAAACGACGATACCACGTAATCAAATAATGGATCAAAACAAAGAATCATATTGAACATATCCTAGCATGACTTCCAAACATAATTGACACCCGAACATGTGAAATCCCACCCAAATATATACCAAGAACATCACAATATAAAATTCCCCAATTTAACCTAGGGCTCTAATCCCATTCAAATCATCGAGATCATTGTTCATCTTTAATATCAAGATTTATCAAGAACATCACACAATCATCAAGATCCTCTTATCATCATCAAGATCATCAAGATCACACATAAAATCATCTCATCAATCATCAAGATCATATCACAATCATCATAGAAGATTTCATCAAGAGATAAGCATATAGAAGGAGCCAAAGAAGAAGATTATAGCAAGGAAAATAGGTTTTGTTGAGACATGGGTTACCTCTTAGCCTTAATTAATCCTCCCTTGGCTATTAAGGTTTTTCTCTAAGATTTCCATCCGATTGATCTCCCTAGGCTTGGTGGTGGGGAATCTCCCGGGAATATTTTCGTGTAATATAACTATGGGTGGTAAGGGTTCTAATTGCTTTCTAATCCCCTATTTATAGAATCAGGAATCCTAATCCTAATCTGAATAATAAAGCCCTACTTTCTTTATTCCTAATAGATATATAGGTCTAGGATTCCTAATTGGAATCTGACAAGTAAAATGTTTACTCTCTTTATTCCTAATAGGCTTAGGACTCTAGTTTAGGCAAGGGTCCACAATCCATGGTGGACCACATTAATTAATTAAAGGGAATCCTAACCAAATTAAATCCTTTTTAATTATTATTAACGGAATTAATTAAATAATTAATTGGGATTGAAGGCTGTAACACGGGGTGTTACACTCTCCCCCCCTTACAGGAAGCTTCGTCCTCGAAGATTTAGAAATCATCACGGGGGTAACGAGTCAAAACTAGTACGGTGGTCATATAGAGAAAGTGTTCTACGGGGAAAATATATAATTATATATCTATGAATGCTAAGTTTTTGGGAACGATTGGGTAAAAAAGATAAAGAGAGTGGACGGTTCGGGTTTCAACGTACGGACAAGGTAATTTGGGAAGTGGGATCAAGGTTTTCAAAGTTGCAATTTGAGGAGATAAGGTTGCCACCTTGTATGTATCATTTGAAATAAGGAGTCAAGAATGAGGTTTGGAACGGTAGAGTGAATTTCCCAATGAAAGGGTATTAGATAGACAAGGGAAGGAAAGGAGTTTGGCTAGAATAGGGTTAGGGATCCTCGACTTCGAGCGATTATTCCTGTTTGAGACTTGATTATGACGTAAGGACGAACTGACGATCCTTTTTTCTTTAGTTTTGGCTCTGTTTGACTCTAAGATTTCCGTTGATCTTTTCTTTCCATGCTAAAGTCTCACCCATTCTTACCGATTTTGAAGGAATTCTTGTGATGAATCCCGTGCATACTCTTCCAAAATGCCCAAAAAGTCTTGACCTAGTCGGTTAGCATCGTAGAGTCCAACTACAACTTCCATGTGTAATGCAATTGGTTGTGTCTTTTCGAAGGCGTCTTGCGGGTCAAGGTCCTTTACCAAGGTCACCACTTTTAGGCAACCCATGATTCCTTACACGAGACTTGCGTTCATCAATCGAGGCACACAAGTGCGCAATGGATCAATAAAACGAGAGGTCAAGAAATCATCATATCTTACCAGTGGGCACGAGGTGGGCGGTCGACCACCTGCCAAGGTCCTGTCAGGGTCCTGTCAAGGTCCCGTTGGGGACCCGCTGGAACGCAATTGTGAAGAGGGAATCTCTTCGGGTAAAGTCCCAAAAACGCACAAATTCAAGTCCAAACACTTCCATGCTCATATGAACAACAAAAGGGTCTTGAATACATAGAATGACTCATCGAACAACGTTATTGAATCCTAAGCACGAGTTCTGGATGAGTCAACACTCTCGCATGTCCTTCATTGTTGCTTAGTAGGTCGGGTCTGGTTTCCAATTAGCAACCTCGTAACCTTCATAGGGTAGTCGGTTGTAAACCAACTTTGTCTTTTCCTTGCCTTTATTAATGGCAAGCCCTCTTGGTTTTTCCTTGAAGTTCGGCTTGTCACCCGGTCCCTGTTTAATCCTTTAGTGACCAAATTCTTAGTGATGCCTTTCCCTTCCTTGGGATGCATTTGGTTGAATGCTCTCGACGTCGCATGGCGTTTGGCGATTTTGTGTGTCACATGTACTTCTTACGGTGCCTTAAAGCCATCAAGGTCCTTATTCCAAAGTAAGACCTTTATTGCAGGGAAGCTTAGTGCACGACACTTGGTACGCCGAGTCCTTTTCAACAACTATCCTAACACTAACCTAATAAGCATCAACCCTCATGCCACTTTAGACGAAGCAAGGGGTTTACACCACTTGTGGGGTTTTAGCAATCGTTCGAAAGAGAGGGATACAGGTTTAGAGCAATGACAATGATTCCAAGCTTATAACGATTTAAGGTTTCCAAGGATAAATTAGGTACAACAAAGAGTGAGTAAAGGCATAATGAGTGTTTAATTGCTTTCAAGGATAATCAAGGGTTCGAGGCAAGGGTTTCAACAATTAAGAATATCGAGAGGCTGAGATTCGAGGGTGAATGATATTTTAGGCTTAGGTAAAGGGTTCACAAGTCAATTGCGGGAGGCCATGGACCTAGAGTTCAATGCACTCCTTCAAAACAATACTTATCGCCTTGGGTGTTTCGCACCAAGCGCACAACCAATGGTTTGGCGGAGCGCTACAAGGCTCGCCTAGTAGCTAAAGGCTTCAACCAAGTTGCAGGCGAGGACTTCTTCAACACCTTCAGTCCCGTTGTCAAACCAACAATAGTCCGGATGCTCTTTTCCTTGGCAGTATCGAATAGTTGGACTTTGCGCCAACTAGACGTTCACAACGCCTTTCTCAATAGACACTTAGCTGAAACAACCCACGGGTTATGAAGACCCGACTCATCCCGGGCATGTGTGCCGTCTTTAGCCCTCTCTATACGGTCTCAAACAGGCCCCACGGGCTTGGTTCAAGAGACTTCACCATTTCTTACTGTCTGCAGGTTTCTCGGCATCCAAAACAGATGTCTCACTGTTTCACTACACAGCCGGTGAGTCCCGGGTGTTCCTACTTGTCTACGTCGACGACACCATTATGGTGGGGAATGATACCGCTCTAGTTAGTTCTTTACTCCAGCGCTTGGCTTCTACTTTCAAAATCCGAGACCTAGGCAAATCAAGGTTCTTCTTGGGTATTGAAACAATTGTTGTCACTAATGGTCTGATCCTCTCACAGCGCCGCTACATGACTGACTTACTGAACCGATCAGGGATGATAGACTGTAAACCCCTAGCTACACCAGCTGCTGTAACTCAAGCGGTCACACCTTCGGTACAACCATGTGAAAAACCGACACAGTATCGCCGGATAGTGGGCGCCTTACAATATCTCACTATCACACGGTCGGACCTTTCTTTTGCGGTCAATCGTCTGTGTCAGTTTATGCATTCACCAACTGTTATCACTGGAGTCTGGTAAAACGTGTCCTGCGGTACATCAAAGGCACACTAGACTATGGATTATGACTCTCAGCATCTCCATTTGCTGCCTCATGCCTATTCGGATTTTGACTGGGCTGGGTGTCCGATAGACAGAAAAAGTACAAGTGGTTATGCCGTTTTTTTGGGCTCAAATCTTATTTCCTAGTTCTCACGGAAGCAACGCACTTTGGCTCGCTCATCCACCGAAGCTGAATATAAAGCACTAGTCGATGTCTCAGCAGAGGTAACGTGGGTCGTCTCGTTGCTACGAGAACTTGGTTTACACACTGGTCAGCCGTCAACCCTGTGGTGCGGTCTCGTTGCTACGAGAACTTGGTTTACACACTAGTCAGACGTCGACCCTGTGGTGTGATAATCTCGGAGCCAATCCGGTGTTTCTTGCCAGGACTAAACAAGTCGAAATCGACTACCATTTCGTTCGCGACAACGTCACTTCAGAGGACTTCGTCGTCAACTTTACTTTGGTGTCCACCAAAGATCAGCTCGCTATAGTATAAGTTATTATTATTTATGTGGTAGAGGATTAGTAAATTATAGCGTACTCCTATATGATATACTCTACACTTTCTCAACCTAATGAAGCACAAAGAGTCAACAACGCCTCGACTGAGGCTCGATCTCATGACCTCCCATAGGAGAGAGGTCCCTACATGCCATATGAGCACCTTGTCCCTACATGCCATATGAGCACAAGGTGCTTGGTACATATATATATATATATATATATATATATATATATATATATATATATGTTATTGAGCAGGACCCCTAGTTTGAGTGAAACGGCCCTGGCCGCTTGTAGGGTTACTGATGGCCATGATCGCCCCCTGTGCTTGGCAATAGGTGGCTGGTAGCCTGGTATTTAGCCATGCGGGGCACTATGCTGCACTGCCACCCGTCTATCCTTCCTTTCCCTACCTTTGCACTTTATGTCCTCGGATTTTATGTCACTTCTCACTTTTGACCCCTTCCTTCGTCCCCTTCGTAGTCTTTGTGGCTTGAAAAATGATAATTAATTATGTTGACCTCTAAAATTTTCTACCCTTCTTTACTTTATGCCCCATCCCTTCAGCCTATATGATCTCCTCTTAACTTCGATCCTTAGCTCAATTTGCACCGTTAACTCTCTTCCCTTCTTACACATGCGCCCATAACATTACCCATGGTCTGCAACATCCTCTTGACCTAATTGATTCTTGGGCTTCCAGTCCTCAAACCTAATTGACTTTGGACCTCAAGCTCATTCTCCCATTAATATTCGTAGTGATTTATATACTTAAAGTGATGACTTTAAGTTCCTGAAATTTTTTTTTTAAAAAAAACTCAGTATTGGTGTTATTTTAAAGATTTCAATTAGAGCTTTTAATGACGTGAAAGCCCAATTAATAATAATTCAGTAGTAACCTGTTGAATAGGTTAAATTAAGAATTTTTTGTCAAGTTAAGAAGCCATAATGGAACATTTTAGACTTAAGTTCACTATAAAGCGTATTACACTTTTTTCATTAAAAAAAATCAATAATTATGACATATATTTTGAGGAATTGAAACTCTTCACTATAGGTACATGGGTGGTGTACCTAACTCCACATCGAGATTGATTGAGCCTTCTATCTTGATGGAATCTCCAGTGAAACCAGACAACAGGATCTTTGCCTACTCCAGTTGTTTCCTCAATAGCCCCAGTTGGGTGAAGGTGTTATAATACATGACGTTTACTGAGCTACCTATGTCAACCAGTACCGTGTGGACAATCACATTGTTGATTTAAACCTTAACTACTAAGGGTGTCTCGGTGGGGTAGGGAACCATCTGAGAGGTCATTGCCGATGAAAGTAATGGGCTTACTCCTTGGCCTCTTCTCGTGTGGCCGGGGGTCGTACGACCTCACCTACATAGAGGCTTCTTGCCCACCTCTTCCTTTCTGTTGGTGTATCCCAGCCCTACAATATTCCAAAGAATACGTGAATGACCTGCTTCTTCTAGGGATAGGGATTATCTAACTCCTTTTCTTCCTCTTCAGTAAGTTGCCCGAGCTTTCTCTTGCGTGACGCTAAGGCGGATGGTTCAAAGCCGCCGCACTTCATCCATACGTTGCTCGAGCCATGTCCCTGCCCTAGTCTCTTCACAAACTACCGGAGGTATCCCCGCTGAGCTCCTCAATTTGACACTTGAGGAGTATGTCTGTATCGTATCCTGTTTGACGGTGAAACCTATAATATTTTTTAGGGTTAACCTTCGGGGATACCTTCATACACTCTCCGGGGTACTCCACGATCCCATGTTCTCGGCATGGTCAAATATGGTGCTCACTAGCTGTGTCAGTGGGGTGAGGTAATGTAGGGGGGTCAGCCTTAGCCCCTTAGCGTGCTCGTGGCGCACCGACATTGGCGATTGATGTGAGTTTAATTGTGCACATTTCCAGTATTATTTTGATTATATTCCTTAGGCTTGAGTTCATGATTTTAGTAATTTAATTGCGTAATCCTATTGTTTTATTATTTATGCATAGTTCGCACTTGTTTTGAATGTTTTACGGTGTTTGTTAGCATTTTGGAACCATTATAGGTCAAATACAAGAGAAAGGAAAGTTCTAGGATGAGTTTGGAGCCAAAACTAGACAAATTGGAATCCAGAAGACTCGACGCGTCAAAAAAAAAGACATAACGCCTTTTGAATTAATATTCGCGCCCTCGACGCGTCGAGCGGTGTTAATCACAAAAGGGGGCGCTGATTTGCAATTAATCAAAAGGCGTTGTTTTGCAAGAAATCAAAGTGGTGCTAATTTACAATAAATCTAAAGGTGGCGTATTTGCAATAAATCAAGTGGCGACAATTTCCAAAGAAAGAGGAGAATTCCACTTTTACCCCCTCTTTTGTTCCGGCTATAAAATCCCACCTTCATCAGCTCTAATATTCATTTAAAGATTTTTTGAGATAAGAAAGAGAGAAATCAATAGCCACAAGTTATCTTGGGAAGCAAGAAGAAGACTAGGGAGATTTGAGAGAATCGTCTGATTCATTCTTGTACTCTTTTGATAATTTGTATTTTCTTTATCATCTTTTGCTATGTATAATTTAGCCATGCATAGCTAAATTCCATTAGAGATTCTTGGGTAAAAACTGTTTATGAACCTATATATGTACATGCGCTCTCAGATTCTTTAATATATTATTATTCGGGTTTTAAATTTGTATTGCAATTGTGATTATATTGTTTGATTCTTGTAAGTGGCCATAGTTACTCGTTTCATAGCTTTCTTTGTGTCACAACGGGAGTTGGGCATAATTTAGGGCACACACAATTACACTTAACTATTGCACCTTGGGAGAGGACATATGTTAAGGAGCTTTAATTCTTGATTATTGCACATCAGGAGATGGTAGTAGTTAGAAATTTATCATGAATGCTCGTTCTTATTTTTATTGTGTTTATATCATGAGAGTGAATACTCACTAGGCTATAAAATCCCACCTTCCTCATATCTTCGACTATAAAATCTCACCTTCCTCATTTCTCCAAAGGCGGCAATTGTCTTTCTTTTTTTTTTTTTTTTTTTTTTTTTTTTTTTTTTTTTTTTTATGAGAACACGCTACTGTTTTTAGAAAAGAACAGTCGCAGATTCTCTTTTTTATTTTTATTTATTGAGTATCTGCGATTGCTCTTAGTAAAGAACAGACGCAGATTCTATTTTTATTTTAAAAAAATTATTTTTAACTTAAATAATTAATTTAAAACCCCCTAATTTTTTATTTAAAATCCTACCAGATAAATACTATATAATTTAATAACACTTGTTTCAAAATTTCATCAAAGACCAATAGCTCTAACAAAAACTAACAAATGTTAAATTACCAAATTTTCATTACTTAAATTCACTTACCTGAAACCATACATTCCCGGTGCTGCTGTTATCTCATGAGTGAATGTTATCTTCTCATCTCCCCAAAGCAAAACTTCTGCAACTGTAGCAATGTAATACACAGTTATACTCAGGTGAATTGGAAAAATATATTACAGTTATACTCAGGTAAAACAGAAAATGATGCTACAGAACCTTATTCTTTAAGAATTCCTCCAAATTTGTAAGCAGGACATGTACATAGTTCTGACTTATAGGAACTTCATTCAAATAGATAAAAGGTTCGGATTGCAATACACTCAACCAGCAACCAGAAGATCTACCAGGCAGAAGTATACCCCAGCTTACCTAGGGGACTATGAGTGTCAAAGTTTTGTTGTAAAGTCCTCCCCTCATGACATATCTAAGGTGGTAAATTATACTAAACTCTCAGCTCCTTTCCACTCTTTTGTCATGAATATTACTTGTCATATTGAACCTAGAAACTACAAGGAAGCAGCAATGTATGATTGCTGGAAGAAAGCCATGAATGCTGAATTGGATGCCTTGAAGGCTAATAATACTTGGGAGTTGGTGGACCTACCACCATCTAAGAAACCTATTGGGTGCAAATGGGTTTACAAGACTAAGCATAAGGCTGATGGAACCATTGATAGGTACAAAGCAAGACTGGTGGCCAAAGGTTATACACAAACTCTTGGCATTGATTATTTGGACACAATTAGTCCAGTGGCCAAAATGACCACTATCAGGACTCTCCTAGCCATTGCAGCTGCAAAAGGGTGGCACCTCCACCAAATGGATGTTAACAATGCCTTCCTTCATGGA